CTGGTGTGAAGTGTGATGTCTCCATCCTGTAGAACAGAGATCTGTCATCCCTGCCCTCCTGTAGGGCCTCGCTCTCTCCACCTTGCCCTGTTGTGGGTTTCCAGAGCTCCTTCCATCCTGCACCTCTCTCTCTCTCTCTCTCTTTTCACTCTCTCTTCTCTCTCTCTGTCTTTCCTCTCTCTGTCTGTCTCTCTCTTCTCTCTGTCTCTCCCCTCTCCCTCTCTCTCTCTGTCTCTCTCTCTCTCTCTGACTCTCTGTCTCTCTCTCTGTCTTCTCTCTCATTCTCTCTCTGTCTCTCTGCCTCTCTCGCTCTCTCTCTCTCTCTCTCTCTCTCTCTCTCTCTCTCTCTCGCTTCACTCTTCTCTCTGTCTCTCCTCTCTCCCTCCCTCCCTCTCTCTCTTCTCTCTCTCCTCTCTCTCTCTCTGTCTCTCCTCTGTCTGTCTCTCTCCTCTCTCTGTCTGTCTCTCCTCTCTCTCTCTCTCTCTCTCTCTCTCTCTCTCTTCACTCTCTCCTCTCTGTCTGTCTCTCCTCTCTCCCTCCCTCCCTCTCTCCCTCCCTCTCTCTCTCTCTCTCTCTCTCTCTCTCTCTCTCTCTCTCTCTCAGATTTTGTTTCTGTGTGAATTGTCTTCATTTGCTTCTGAAAGAAACCTGGGTTCTTGGCTGGCCCTGCCCTGCCCTGCCCTCTCCCACTGGCTTTGCTTCCTGCCCTCCCACCTGTTCTCCATTCTTCCTCTAAATAGCCTGAGACCCTTTCCTGCCCCCATGGGCCTGTGTGTCCAGGGAGTGAGGCTCTCATCTTCCGCCCCTGGCCAGCCAGTTGAATGAATGGACCCCCCTCGGCCGGCTTCCGTTGGCAAGGCCTTGGCCGTTTTCCCCAGATGTGAGCAAGGCTTGCCCTTCAGACAGCTGTCACCTTTCCTCTTCCTTCCTTTCCATTGGAGGAAAGTGAGAACAGGGAAGTTAAGTGATACCTGGGGCAGAGCTGGTATCCTGGGCATCATTAAGGCCACCTGAGGTCCTCCTGCTGTTGGCATGCCATACATAGCCCTCCACGCAGGTTCCCCAAGATTCAGAAGGCCCCAGATTTCTCGCAGTCTTCACACGTGAATGCCTGCCACTTCCAGTCTGACCACCACCCTCCTTGTCCCCTCTTGCCTCCCCAGTTCTCCTCTGCCTCCTGTTGGCTCTTTTTGCATCTGGCCTCATCCATCGAGTCTGTGTCACCACTTGGTAAGTGCCTGACAGCTGGGCAAGGGGCACAGCGTCCTGTCCTTCAGCGCTGGATCCTCCGGTGATGGTTGCAGCCTTCCCCATACCTCCCTCCCTTCCTGCTTCCCCCTCCCCCATCTTTCTGACCCCAGAGCCTCGATTCTCTCCCTGATGCTGGTGACTGCTCTAGAGGGCAGGCTGGCAGCATGCCCACTGATGGCCGCGACCTTCCTGTCTTCACCCTGTAGCTTCCTCTTCTCCATGGTCGGTCTGTACTACATCAACAAGATCTCCTCCACTCTGTACCAGGCAACGGCTCCGGTCCTCACGCCAGCCAAGGTCACGGGCAAGGGCAAGAAGAGAAATTGACTCTGAATGTCCAATAAAGTTGATTCTTTGTAGCTCTGTGAGCTGTGATAAGCCGTGGACCTCTTCTGCCAGTGCCTGCGTGGGTGGCAGAACATTAGGGCAGGGGGGCACCGGCTGTTTTCAGACCTTGGGGAGGGTGGTGCTTTCCTTCCTCCTGGTTCATTTTTTACCAAATATGTATGAGTGCCATCAGTGGCAGCTACTTTGCCAGGCACTGGAGTGCATGTGCTTGTGTCTCACGGAGGGGAAGTGCACCTGTGCTCTGCAGCCTTGACCTTCGGGAAAAGGGGTAAAGGCTGCAATGCTGGAAGGCCTGACATCTTGGACAGGAGGGTAAGGGTAGGGAAAGCGCCTCACCACCCCCCTCCCCCGTGGGGTTTGTTTACACCCGTGGGGGCTTTGCTATCCGGCTGCCCACCCTGAGCTAACGAGCCCCACCCCTCTGCCCCAAGTCTGTTCATGGAACTCCCTACTTATGTCGCCCTCCTAGCCCCATCTGTCCTACCCCAATGCATGCCAGTGTTTAGAAAGACTCCCGAGGTGGGTCACCCCCATCCCCTTTGTTTTGGTGCCTTCATTTTCCTCCAGTGTCTAGCAGCCAAGAGACTAGGAACTTCCTCAGTTTTAGCAAAGTTTGTAAAACGACAGGGACAAGGCCGTCCACCTCAGCGCCAGCCTCGATGGGAATGAGGGGTGTGGCTTCTCAGGTCCTACCCTGTCTCTGCTCTGCCACGAGGAGTACCTCTGTCCAGGGGGTACGCACAGTGCCTGATGGGCAGTAGACTGCCGTTTTACACCAGAAAATCCTGTACGTGGGGTGTGCCTGAATTAGGGAAGAAGACCCAGTGAAGATGAAGAAGTGAGTCAAAGGAGTTCTGGTCACAGATTAGAGGCCCCTCTCGCCTCCTTCCCGCCCCATCCTCTAACTGGAGGGCCCCCCCCCCAACCCGCCTATTCCCATAGGTGGTGGGTATGCCGGACTTTCCCTAAGGTTAAGGGATTGCTATGCAGTTTACCGAAGATGCCTGCAGAGGGCGCCATGAGCTCATCTCCAGGAGACCAGCAACCTTGTCCCTTGCAAGCCAGCCCCGTCCTTAGGGCTGGGGAGGGTTGCTGCTGAATCTCCAGTGGAAGCCAACCTTGGACCCCAAAGGCAAGCTCACTTGAGAGGACTGAAGCCTGGATCAAGTCTCCTTGCTTCCCTAGGCTGGAAGCAGAGGCAAAGAACTCAATGGAGACCAGAACCTGCCTGAGAGAATGGCAGCTCTAGGCTCCAATTTACCTAGTGATGGTGGGGGTTTGCAGTATGTGGGACCCTCTGGGGAAGGATGAGAGGTTGTCCGAATTGGGTTCTGGACTTATGGGGAGGCTGAGGTGGTTCTAGGTCTCTATCAAACCTCAACTGTGTCCTGACCTGGGATGGGAGCAGTGGGCAGAAGGCCAGGAGAGCACAGACACAGCTGGGGGGTCTGGTCACATGAGGGCACCTTGCCTTTCAAAATGAGAGCTTGGGTAGGGCCAGGCTAGGGGAGGAGTTGGAGAGCAGGTGGCAGGGCAATGCCAAGGGCTCTGGGCACCTGCTGCCACCCACTGCGTAGGCACCAGGGGCAGCATGTGGCCCAGGATTAATGACCCCTTTCCTTAGGGAATGGGTGCATTTACAAGGCAGGTTGGCGCCAACCTCGGCTCTCCACCCAGCCTATCTCGGGTGCTTAGTTGCCGGCTGCCTGCACCTGACCTACCAATTAACCCTGGTGGGTATCCCAGCCACCTGATCACCATCATTAAGTGTGGGGGTGGGAGGCCATCATAGCCTCCTGGAGGTGAGAAGGCCAAAGGTGCTAACAACCTCTTGGCCCCTGGACTCCTGAGGCTTGGCTCCGCTGAGGGAGGCTGGAGGCCTGGGGGGGAGAGGGGCGGTCCCACCCGCGGAGGACAGAGGGAAGCCAGATGTTTCCTCCTGCTCCCTCACACGTGGCCCCTACACCCTCCGACACCCGCCGGCACCCGTGCCTGCTCCGGAAACAGGAGTAAATATCGCAGGGAGGAGGGGATGGGAGTGGGGAGGCCGGCCAGCCAGCCAAGAGGTGAGGGCACCGATCAGAGGGCGGTAGGAAGCTAAGACAGGGTGAGAGGGCTCCCTGTTCCGGCAGGGGCTGGACTTTCTTCAGACTGGCACTGGCATGAGGGGACGCCTGGCATGTAGGGCACGCCAGAAGGTCAGGGCGGGGTGGGGGCGCCCAGGGCGGGCAGGGAGGGGGAGCCCACGCCAGGCCTTGGCTCCAGCCCTTTCCGGCCCTTATTGTCCTTGGTGAGAACAGGACGCCGTCCCGTTCCCACTGCCCGGCCCCCCCAGCTCTGCTCCCCTGGGGGCTCGGGAAGGATGTTGGGAAACAAGAGTGAGCCAGAGACTCGTAGAGACAGAGACGCCGAGAGACGCAGAGACAGATACAAAGGGGAAAGTTCAGTCAAAAGCAGCATTGAAGCCCATTGTGAGCCCAGCGGGCCCTGGGCCTGTGGGAACCATGAAAGGAGGGAAGCAGGGGGCCCTGCCCTCGGGGGCCCCCGGGCCAGCAGGCCCTGCGCACTCCTGCTGGACTTCAGGTCACCCACAGAGCCGCCTCCTAAGCAAACAATGGCCGAAAGCTTGTGCAGGCACAGTTGGTGGCACTTAATCACTCGCTTCAGATACAGTGATTTGCCTCTCTCCATGCAGACTGGAAGTTCCTCTGGGGGCAGGGCCAAGACCTTGTTCCCAATTCCCACCCCCACAGTGCAGGCTGGCCACACTGAGGCTACACGGTCAGTGCTGTTTGGTTCAGTTCCTGTAGAGCAGCGGTTCTCAACCTGTGGGTCGCGACCCCTTTGGGGGTCGAACGACCCTTTCACAGGGGTCGCCTAAGACCATCGGAAAACAAAAAGATATTTACATTACGATTCATAACAGTAGCAAAATTACAGTTATAGAGTAGCAACGAAAATAATTTTATGGTTGGGGGGGTCACCACAACATGAGGAACTGTATTAAGGGGTCATGGCATTAGGAAGGTTGAGAACCGCTGCTGTAGAGACACAGGGAGACACCCCCACACACCCCACCCTGTTCGCCCTGGAGTCAGGCACCTACGTCCCCTGGGGTGAACTACCACAGGCCTGCCCTCTGCAGCGCCCCCACCCCAGCTCTCACAGCCCCGGATCTGGAGTGGGCACCTCGCTTTCCCATCGCTTCTACCTGGGCCCACCATTCTCAGCAACGGTTCCCTGGAGACAGGTCCTCCAAAAGTTGGGGAGCCGCCCAGCTCCCTTCAACTCCAGAGGCTTTCAAATGAAGAAAAACCGAGGCATGTTTGAAATGCTTACATTTAACAAAGGAACACTTTTTAACACAAAATCAGAACTTGTACTTGTGCCAGTCACAAGATCATTGCAGGATTTTTTTTTTCATGGTACAAAAGTATTTAATATGCGCCACATCAGTACAGAAAACAATCTATAGCTCATCCTTTAAAACCAGAATAGCCAAATGAAAAGTCAGTACAGATTGTTATTTTTACTTAAAAAAAATAAAAAATCTAGGAACAACTACTACTGGTATGTCTTATTTCTAGAGAGGTGACAGCCACGTTTTCTGGGCAGTAAGGTTCTATCAAACATTGTGCTAAGCCAATGCACTAAATCAGAGCAGGCAGGTGACCCATGAAGCTGTCTGCTGTCTCCTATCCCTGCTGAGCTAGGCCAGTAAAACACCGTCTTGGTAGGAAGACCAACAGGAAGAAGGAATTGCAGAGCCCTCACCCCAACAGAAACCCTAACAGACTAATTTATACAGAAAGGGTTTGAAACAAACCTGCACAAACACGTAATATGCTACAAGAAAAGTGATAGCTTTTAGTCTCCCTCCAGCTCAAGCACACCTTCACTGGTGCCCAGTAAAACAGGAGCGCCAACACAGCAGTTTTGCTTTAGAGCACTAACACTAAAAAGCACACAGCATATAATACTTTGATCTTTAAGTGGGTAATCATGGGGGTTCCAAGATTATATCCACTAGGTTAGCCTGAGTATTCACCTATAAAAATATTTTTTCAAAAATCCTTAAGAAAGTTCTAGAAATGGGGACTGCATCAGAAGACAGTGATACAAGCACTACAAACTATAAGACTAGTTTTCACTTGTAGCTTTTAGATAAAAGACATCTCAGTTGATTCCTACAGACAAGACTAACTGTGATGATAGGAGCTCTAGAAATCTCAAGATGGGCAGCTGCTTGAGCAACACCTTAGATAAATATTCCCAGACAGTCAAAAACCCCACTGAGGCTGAAGGACTGAAACTTTGACACATGTGAAAAGCTCGAGCGCACAAAAAGATTTCATGCAAAGCCTGCTGGGACAAAGGGCTGGTGATGGCGGGTGCTTACACCAACAGGGATGCTGGGGAAGGGCCCCCAGGTGGAATGCTGGATGTGGGCTCGCTCCGGAGGAGCCCAGCTCAAGGCCCTGAGCGAGGTCTCTACTTGGGGAGCAGTACTAGGGTCACTGAACACAAGGTTTTTCAGCGGAAACAGGTCCCAGGAGGGTCAGATAATTTTTTTTTTGACCCATCAATACTTAACGTTAATGAAGATTGCAGAACAGAGCCACTCTTTCCAAGATGTGTTTCATCATTAGCTGAAGGCTCTCCCAGGATCCTGGGCTGCCACAGTCCAGAACAAGCTCACTGTCCGGAGGAGGGCCTAGTGCTGAAGGTTGTTGTGGGAAGCTGACACAGAGGATGGTTTGCACAACGAAGTCACCACTAAACCACTGCTTAAGTCCAGTCCCCGGCCTTCTTTTTCTGCTCTGTAGTCCAGAAACATTTCGTTAAAAGCCAGAAAATCCGTAAATGTGAGAAGCATGTCGAATATGTCACCAGCCACTTCATCTTTATGTTGCTGTAAAGTTGCTGTGAAAGCCGCCATGTTAAACCCAGGAATCCGCTCCAGCAGCTGTTCTTCAATGTACTTTTCTACCAGAGAAATTCGTTAAAAATAGGCGTGTAGGTGAGTTTATTTTCTTCTGTGTCTTCAAACTCCTGGTAGTACTTGTCCATGAAATTTCTCTGTAATAACTGGAACTCATCATCCATGATAATGTCCTCTAAATATCCAACCACAGCATCAAATTCTGCATCAGAGGCGGAAGAGAAAGGCAGCGCGAAGCTCTCTTCCTCTAGAGCGTCCATCGCCGCCGCCGCATCCACCCGGTGCTAGCGAGCGGGCCCGTCAGCCTCTTACCCTGCCCGCGGCCCGGGCCCAGCCTCCGTTCTGTTCCGCAAAGCCCCAACCGGCATCGGGGAGGCCTTGCCACCGAGGCGACGGCCAACTCACGGCCCAGCCGGGTCAGCACCTATGCTCGAGGGCCCGGCCTCAGGCTCCCGGCTGCAGCCACGCACTGGCCGGGCCGCTACGCCACGCCAGACCTCTGCACAAGCCGCTGCAGGGGCCGGGTTGCGGTCGGTTACCGCAGGATTTTTAAACCTTTTTCTCTGCAGGGAACGACAGGCCCCTATCTTATGTCAAGTCCTGTGATGATGGGCATATCAGCTTCATTGTATGATTCGTTCTACTTTTGTATATATGTGAAAATTCCGTAGTAAAAGTTAAACCACTTGTGTGGTAAGTCCCTCCTTTCTGTTCTATGAGAGAGTAACGTGGCGGTCTGTAACCAAACTTGGAGATAACATCCGAAGTCTAAATTTGAGGCCCTATGACAATGAGGCCTGACCCAAATGGCCCTCAAGGCCCGTGAGGAGCCCGTCTCTGAGCACTCCCCTCTTCTCAGAGCTGGCAGAGTGGGAAAGGTGCCCCTACCCATTTTAGGCTGATGGCCGTACTGTCAGCACAGGGCAGGATCCCACAGAAAAAAGCCTTCCACAGACCCCCTTCCTGAGCTGAGAGTTGCCGTGAGGGCTGATCTCAGGCTGCTTCAAGGGACTTTCTGGGGCTGAGGTGTGTGTAGACCTGTGTGTGAGGAACTGAGAGTGACAGGAGCGGGACCCCTTCCCTTCCTGCTCTCAGGCTCCAGCCCCCATTCCCAGCCTCTGTCACCAGGGCCTTCTTCTGACTCAGCTAGTTTCAGGCTCCAGTTCAGTACATGGGACAGTGGGGAAAACCCAGGTCTTAAAACCAGACAGACCCAAGTTCTAGTTCGGGCTCTGACAGTTACCAGGTGAGGGTCCTTGAGCGAGTCGAGTGATCTCTCTGCATCTTATATTCCTCAACTGTAGAGTGGGGATAATAATCCCTCTGTCAGATTGCGGAGGAAGATTTGAATTAAATAACAACGCGGAAGAGCCTATCCAGCACAGTGCTCGACCCGCTAGGCCTTTGACAAAAGGTATTTTTCCCTGTGTGATGATGACAACACCTTTAATTGAGCATTTACCACTTGCCAGTCAATGTACCTAGTGCTTCACAGATATTTTCTATGTCAGCCCTCACATCAGCCTTATGAGACGGCTATTCTTATTCTGTATGATGGTTAACTTTATGTGTCAACTTGGCTGGCCGTGGTGCCCAGATATGTGGTCCAACAGTACTCTGAATGTTTCTGTGAGAGTGTTTTTGAGTGAGATTTACATTTAAAATCAGAGTAAAGCAGGCTGCTCTCTCCAGTGTGGCTTGGCCTCATTGAATCCACTGAAGGCTTATACTGGACGAGAGACTGGCCTCCCCAGACAGAGCCAGAGGGAATCCCGCAGCTGGAGGCCTTCGGGCTTGGCCGGCAACATGGGCTGTTTCCTGGGTCTGCAGTGGCTGGATTCCCCCGACTGGGTCTGTGCTCCCCGGGCTGGGAGCTGGCCCTCTACCCATGGCTCCCACCTCAGGCCAAGAGGAAGTCAAGCTTTCACAGAGTGAACCCTGCAGAACTTGGGACGACGTGCCAGCCTTTCTACTCAAGCGAGCCATTTCCTTAAAACAAACAAACAAATCTCTGTGTTTCTCTGGAAAAGTCTGACTAATACACCCGTCTTAGTGAAATGAAATGAGGTGAAATGAAAAAGGTAAAAAGAACCTGCTCAAGATGATAAGTGAAGGCCGGGCTGGAGTTGAAATTCAGATCCATCGGTGCCTGTCATGCTGCTTACCCACTGTGGCGACAACGTGCCCTCTGGCCCCCACCACCTCCCTGACCTGCACTCCTTGCACTCATCCCCAGGCATTCTCCTTCAGTCCATCCCACCCCCGGCCTCCACATTGCCTCCTGCGCCAGGCATTCTTCCCTCTCAGGGCCTTTGCACTTCCTGTTCCCATTGCCTGGAACACTTGTTTGGTTGATATGTACACTTCTTCCTCCTTCATTCACTCAGGTTTTTGTTTTTCTGTTATTGGGAACAGTGTGTTTTTCCAGGACCCATCAGCTCCAAGTCAAGTAGTTATTTCAATCTAGTTGTGGAGGGCGCAACTCGGTGACCCATGTGGGGATCGAACCAGCAACCTTGGTGTTTTGAGCCTGCGCTCTAACCACCTGAGCTAACTGGCCACCCCACATTCAGGTTTTCTTGCAATGTCTCTTTAAAAAAGGTCTTTCCGGCCGGCTGAGTAGCTCAGTTCATTAAAAGCTCGCTCAAGAGTGTGAGCTCTGAGCAACAGCGGTTCAAGTCCCAGCCCGAGCTGAGC